CGTCGGATGGGTTCTTGCTTCATTCTTCCTTCTCCGAATATATTTGATTTGCCCTTTCAGTTCGCTAACAGGAGCGAAGTGCAATGAAGTGGTGGGATTTCAGTTCGTGTGCACCGGATGCTCGTAACATCTCCTTTCTCCACCCTGGGCTTCTTCGGTACAAGGGAACTCCCCCCCCCCCGCCTTGCATTCGGGATTAACGTGGTCTTGGCTGTGTTTCCATGGGATCAGTGCTAATATTATCCTCCCAGCGATGCCTAGTTCTTCCAAGAGGCGTCTTCCCTTCGCTTGGCCACTCCGCGAAGAGCTTAGTTCAGTTGCACCCGAATTCCTGTCGGCCTTCGTCCCTCGACACTGTCTCATCCCGAGGTCTTCTCGTAGGCTCAGGACACGACCTGATTTACGACACTTTCACTTGTCGATCTGAAGTGCAGATGGCGTCGCCACTGCTCCATTACCCCATTTAACTACACTGAACAACTGTTTTATGGGCCAATCTGTTTTCTGTTCGCTTCATCGCTGTTAACTGCTCCCTGAAGAACCCCGGGTAGTTAAACGTGTTGATGCGATGCCCTGGCGCCTGCCATCTTGTTTCGCGTTGCCTTCTGTTCTCTGTCGTAATGCTCGAGATGGCACATTGATTGAGCCGGAGTTGTTAGAACTGGACCCACCGATCATGGCCGCTGACCTCGTAGGGAGAGCCCAGTATGCGGACCACTCAATGAAGGAAGGAAGGAAGGAGTTTCCGTCCTTCAGTGCAGCAGTGTGGAAGCCTGATAATTCTTGTCTTGTGACTGAGCTGTGTTAACAACATGACACCTGTTCGTTGAAATCTCCTTTCTGGTCATTGATAACGCCTCGTATCAAAACACTCGGACAGACAAACCACCGATATCTAAGACTCTCTGCAGTGTTAATTTTCTAGTGGTGTGTAGTGAAATCGACTTTCCTGTGTTACATGCCGTGGTGACATTTTATTTTGAGTGTACTGTACTTGGCCTGCTGCCATCCCTTCCAGCAATCTTCCGGTAAGTGACTCGCTCCGATGATCCAATTCACAAAGTTCAGAGGCCAAAAACGCTGGAGCGCAGTGTACGCACTGCTGGTTGAAGGCGTGTAGGGGAGTGGAGGTATAGCTCCACGAATTCTTGACCTTAGCACAGTATATAGGTCTGTGGTCATCTTCACGCCCGCTCCCGAGAAAGGAGCCCCGGAGCCGGTCCGCTGCTGCCGTGAATCGAACCCCGGTCGTCGAATTCGCTACAAAGTGGCTCGCCGGATTGCTTTGTTTACACTTCTCAGAATGTAATTAAATAAAAGATTCCGACCTGAATGCTTAAGAATATCACACAAATTCCAAGAAGGAGTTCTGCTGCTGTTGTTCATTAAGTAAGCTAATTTGACTTCCACAAGCCGTCGAAATATGCGGGTGCCTCATAGGACAAAGGATCTTGCTCTGCAGTCTGCGTTGTTTAATAAAGAAACAAACGACCTGGAAGTTAAGGTCTGAGTGAGCAAGGACGTGTTCTCTGCCTTGCAGACAGTGGCGAACTACATCGGGGCCACCCGGACGCTGGAGTACGTTCCTGACACGAAGATACACTGGGCAGGGGACCGGACCGATCCCCCACCTGACACGCCCACCTGTGGTTTCGACAACTCCCTGTGTCCGGACAACTGTAAGTAGCTTCTTGAGCCTGAGACCTACTTCCTTAACAGACTGTACTCTGTCGTGCATGAACAGAGAAAGTACGACAGTCGGAAGAGGAATCCGATAATACCGATCTGTTGACGAAACTATAAGCCTCTGACTCCCCTACGCATTTTTAAATGGTATGCGGGATTTCAGATCCTCACAGGGACTAGTGTGAGGATCGCGCAGTCTGGTACGGACGTTTCAGAGGTGCTTACTGCCTCCATCATCAGAGCGGTGAGTACCACAGCATCCAGAGGCAGAATACGAGTTCGATCCAGGTTGCAGACTTCAGTTCTGCTTGCGTTGCGTTCGGCACAGCCTTGTAAAGACGAAACGTCCGCACTGCTGCGATCTGTTTCTTCAAGTGCCTCGTTTCTGTTTTCTTTTCAGCGTTGCCAGGATACGCCATCCTCAGCATAATCCTGAGCTCCGTCGTCGTCTTTCTAGTCATTGCGTCCGTGTTCATCTACCGGTAAGTGAGCGGCGTTGTGTTGGTCCTTCGGGAAATAACGCCCTTTAATCGCCCCTCGGTCTGTAAAATTATAACCCGAAGGAAGTGAATTGTGTTCCTGGAATCGTAATTGGACGGGGTGGAACTTTCCATCATCGGTAGCCGATTGATACGAAGTGGCAGGATAACCAACTCATACTGCATAGGAGGAGAATCCTCTAGTCGCTTAGCTGGCGAAGAAGTTCTCCGCCTTCTATAGATCTTCAGCCAGTTGAATCCAGTCCGCATCTTCGTAGACTCGTTCCTCAAGATCCAATTATCATCCTCCCTTCAGGTTTCCCGAATGAAACTTTGTGTGATTTCAAAGTGTCAACTATTTTGTTGTTGTCATAATATGTGACCGACATAGAAACTCACGTTCGCCGCGTAGTTACGATACGAGTCGAGAATCAAATCGTGAAGAATGAAATGCAAATAGAAGTTGTCCCTGGGGAAGAAAACTTATTCGCAAAAAGCTTTTCGTTAAAGAAAACTTTATTGGAAATTCTGAGTGCAGCTATCAGCATCTGTGGCGGTGGGTTAGGCCACGTCTTGGGGTGGAGATTAATAGTAGTCTGTTTGCCGTTTGTGTGTTTATTTATTTGGGATTATGTAATACATATATCATGGCCGTCACACGTCGGTCGGAACTTCGCGTGCTTTTCCAGGCACAATTGAAGTGCCCGAGAAATTTCTTAACAACAGACCAGGACATCATTACCGCAATGTATGAAGACCCAAAATTTATAATTTTCTTTCTTTGGGGCGAGGGGGGTTTCAACCACTGCACAACATCCGCAGTTGATACAGTACCATTAAATGACCGATGAACTAGACGTGTTTTCACTCAAGCAACAGAAATCGGCTCCGATTTGATACGAAGGTGAAAGCAAGCGTCGCGCTGTGCCGCGTTTTGCTGCCGGCAAACTCGCGTTCAGGCCCTCGTTTGTTTCCGCCCACTTCATAAATTTACGTAACTTTTTTTCCGAGACAATTTTTAAGCGTTTCGGTTACCAAAGAAACGGGCAATCAACTGATTAACACGAAATTAAGTCGAAGAGCGCGGAAGAGAAGTGACGAAAGACTTGATGAAGGATCCAAAAGGAGTGAAAGGGTTACCTGCCTCCCCTTTGCCTCCGCCTCCAAAACAATTCTTGTATCGTGGACGATTCCTTAGACCTCGTTTTATAGGCTATAATTCTGAAAATATATTCCATCTGCTTCTCTGTTTATTTATCGAAAATTTCCATTTGATCAGCTGTTGCTTCAGGCGGTAGCCATTAGCTGCAGAAATGTGGAGGATCCGAAAGCATTGCTGTATACCAACGTCTCGAAGGAACACACTGTCTCCGTCTTCAGGGATTGAGTGAGGTTGATCAGAGCCAAGGCGAAGGCATAGCCCAGAAGTGCAATTACGTAACGCGAGACCGAACTCCGCGAAGCGCTGTAGTTCCAAAAGCGAACGATCTCATTTGTGAATGCAGCGCTGCAGGCTTCAAAACAGATGAATATATAAATGCGTGGCAAAGGATAATATCGCGGGGATGACGTACCAGCATCGACGATTGTACAGGATGATCAAAAGTCACGCAACACATGTGACCTCGGTGGGCTCTTCAGTCTCAGCGATGTTGTGTGTTTGTTGATCCAGACGAATTGTATCGAGTTCCAACCATCAGTTTGAATTTTTAAATTGGTTGTATAATAGTAAGATATAGTAGTCGCGTTGTGTAGGCCTGTGTTACTAGCAACCCGCATAATTCCTTTCTTCTTTTTAATTTATTAACCCTGTAAATCTCGTGGTAACTGTGTGTATCATTTGCTTTAACAGTCATACAGAGTGTTTAGGTTTTTTGTGGTTTTCGGTGTAATCCGCGATTATTTCCTTAAACGGCGTTAACCAGTTGATCTTTGTAATGGTGAAGTGTAGTGTTTTCTTCGCGGTACGGACTGGATTCTTAAATAATATTTAGACGAGCACCGGCTTTAAAGGGTTCTGCTCGCTTTTTCAGATACTTGTTCTTGTCGTCCTGTGACGTCACCTTAAATTTCCCTTAAAGTACGGTGTAATATTGAAGAAGCCGCTGTACACACTTTGTTGCGTTGTGAAATTTGCTTCGCGTGAGAGCGTCGCGCTAAAAGCACGTCAGGTCGTTCGTCAGGGCTTTGAAGCATCCTCCCTAAAGGATCATGTTGCAGGCCCGACCACTTTCTTCTGAAGTTCCCTAAGGCACGCGATCCGCAAAGCTCGGGACTTGGCTCCTGGCCTCGCATTATGGTATCCGGTTGCGTCCTTTGCCTTTCTGAACGGAAAACATGTTGCACGGTGGTAAACCTTCGCGAAGTTTGAATTTCATTCTCGTCGCCTACCGGTGTCGGAGTCCCTGACATGAAACACGTCGCACTGCATTTGTCTTCCTCGACAGAAAACTGCGTTAAAGTTTACGTTTGCGCCTAAAGCGTACTGACGAAGCGTAACCCAGGGGAAATGTGGGAGGTCGCCACTTGGGACACATATCTACCGAGATGGGGATAATATTAAAATGGATGTCTTGACCGGCTGATTGTCTCAGAAGTCCTCTGCCCCTGACATTTGTGCTTGCAGCTGCGTTCGGGTAAAGTGCATTGGCCAATTATAAACTGCGAGGGTAATTAATATTCATTGCGGCGCGTAGAGCTTCACAGCAGAGAGATGCAAAGAGAACGCAACGCCTCGAGGGACGAGTTGCGGCCGGTTGTCCGCGGCCACTTTGTAGTGAACCCAGAGGTATTCGGTGGGACCATCTACCTGCCTAATCCCCACCTTCGTTTCGTGTGCGCTCTCGTGGCGCCATGGCTCTAAATTAGGCTCTGACGTGAGGCACAGTGCGACCTCACGCCCCACGGCGATGTACCGGCTCTGTCTGTACTCGCATTAACTTGGTTGACGACAGAAAGATAAAGAGGTCATTAATACTGGATTGTGACACGGATTTGCAGTGGCTCAACTTGCTCAAGAACAGGAGATGTCGTGTCAAAGAGGGTCTGGGTTCAAGACCCGGTTTGTCCAGTCAGAAAATCATTAGGACCGGTGGTTGCTGGGGATGTCTGTAGTTGGAAATGACGTTTTAAAATGTTCGTTGCGAACTCTCCTGTCACGGGCATGGAGCTAAACAAATGTGAAACGTTTTCCGCATGCAGCGTGGGTGTTGGGACATTATTCTGAGCGAAAGGCCACTGAAAATAACAAAGTTGAAATATTGGTTCGTCACTCGTAGGTGCAGAGTTTCTGTTAATTACAGGAGGCTGTTTGTTCTGTCTGCGGAGACGCGAGCATCGGAACAAGTTTGTTAATAGCAATAATAGTTAATAATACACTGAGTTAGATCCGTTCCGCAGGGGAATTCCCGTTAATGGTAAAGCAAATAGCACGCGGCCGCCCACTCGCCTACCTACGGAGCACGAATGGATCAGGTCGTGACATTTGGAACGCGGGTCTGCGAGCACAACACCCACTGCAGCTGCGGTGGGTTGCCTACTAATGACGCTCGGGCGCTTAATTGGGACGGAGACGCTAATGAAGCTCAAATACGTACAATCGGATTTACTTCCAAGTGCAAGGCAGATGCTTCAGTTAGGGAGGGGGGCGTCGTAGCAGCTGTCCCCGGCTTCACCGCTGGTTCTCGAATCGATGTGGATCGGCCATTGTAGTCTGAGGGGCTACGTCGATGCAACGGATGGGTCCTCTGAGGTAATTCGTAGATGATGTGGTGACGGAACAGTGGCCGCGTAGCCTTCGAGTGTGAGGGTAGCCCAGGGCAGAACGCGGGGTCGCTCCTAGTTGCCGACAGCGCGCGTGTAGAACAACCGAGAACAGCAAAGAGCACATCGCAAACTTCTGTGCTCCGCAGATTCAATAACCCTAGCAAAGACCTTCATAACTGCAGGTGTGAAAGCGACATTCCAGTGAAATTATTTGCAGTTACTCTCCGCTTGATATTAATTAATGGCGGGACTGGAATTTTTCATCTGGAGTCAAATTAAGAATTATTGATCCGGAATGCTCCACACAATGAGTCTTCGGTGTGCTCATTGCCACGGAGCGCGGTAACCCAGGTGGCAGGTCCTGAATATGGGCTGTTCTCAGCCGTTCGGCGTTCGTGTCTTGGCGTTCTCACCGACTGACTGCCATCTCCTTCGAGCGGCGTTAATAGACAAGCTTGTAGTCGGTTATCGCCATTTTGGGGGCTCAGACGTTCATTACCTTTCTCACAAAAGCCCACGCCGAACGTAGCTGTCGAAAGATCAGCGGTACTTCGGGTGTTTCGCCGAATTCGCATCTCGGTCCGAACACCGGTGAACCTGACTGCTGTTTTTCTCGATCACTCCAGGCAAATTCCGAAATATTTCCACCAGTTAGGCCACTACCGCTTCCTTCCTTATCCTTTCCATTTTATTAGGTCTACGTTAATCGCCCGGAGAACTGGGCGGGTGACGACAGGCATTTGTCCCGTCTGCTGTGCGACGTTCCTTAGCACCTTCGTTTCGTGTGCGCTCTCGTGGCGCCATGGCTCTAAATTAGGCTCTGACGTGAGGCACAGTGCGACCTCACGCCCCACGGCGATGTACCGGCTCTGTCTGTACTCGCATTAACTTGGTTGACGACAGAAAGATAAAGAGGTCATTAATACTGGATTGTGACACGGATTTGCAGTGGCTCAACTTGCTCAAGAACAGGAGATGTCGTGTCAAAGAGGGTCTGGGTTCAAGACCCGGTTTGTCCAGTCAGAAAATCATTAGGACCGGTGGTTGCTGGGGATGTCTGTAGTTGGAAATGACGTTTTAAAATGTTCGTTGCGAACTCTCCTGTCACGGGCATGGAGCTAAACAAATGTGAAACGTTTTCCGCATGCAGCGTGGGTGTTGGGACATTATTCTGAGCGAAAGGCCACTGAAAATAACAAAGTTGAAATATTGGTTCGTCACTCGTAGGTGCAGAGTTT